ACTCAAAAAGTATCCCGCAGATCAAGTAGTCTCGAGTTTAAATAGAAAAGCACCAACCTGTAATGTGCAAGAAAAGTCAAGAGAAGAATATAATCAAGTTGAATAACCCTTTCTATTCTAGTTTAAGATATATATTTACATGTCATCTACTCACTTGGCATAAAGTTTCAATATGAATGATTGTCATACTAATGGATATAAGTCTACCCCAGATCAAAACTTCTATGACCTCAATCAATGAATTCTAGCAATCTCAAGTGCATGTCTTGATAAGAAGAGGGCACCCGAAAACGCAATGAGCAATATTATTTATTTTTTCAGTGTAAAATATGCCAAATTTCCAGCAATTAGTGAATCCAGTACATCAACGGTCATTAGATCGAGTATCAGTCCGGAAAGAAAAACAACTAACTGAATATACAGTAATATCTGTAACACGGTCAGGAATTAAATCAAGTGAGTTAGCTGAACACTGAGAGGCGTGCACATAAACAAAATTGAATTAGAGAACTATCAATGCAACTTGTAACATGCATGGGTCATTATACAATTTCCCACCAGCAAAAAGGGTGAAATTAATTGATTCCAATTGTAACTATTTCACCGTCGCAAAGCATTGCTAGATAAAATTTAACAAAGCAGCAGACACTTACATTAGAAACTTTAGATACAACTAAAATTCAACTAGCTAATGGTCTTTGCCTACGGAAATAATGTTTTGTCATCACTATTCAAGAGAACATAACACAGATTTCCCACACGTAACTCTTACTTTGGTTATAAAGAACATATACAGAGGCAATGAGAGACAAAACCAACATTTTGTTCATGTAAGTCTCATTCCAGGAAGATGAGAAAGTCTATCAAAGGAATAAAAGATATGTTTCAGTTATGTAAACATTCCTTGGAGTAGACATCGAAGGCCATCAAGCGACATACATAATTCACATCTCATCCGTGTAAAGCATTCTTGGATAGACGACAAAGGCCATCTCGATCGTAAGCATAACAAACATTCTATACATGTAATCTTTCTTGGTAGATGACATATATAAAGCACATTTATTCGTGTAGAACATTCTTGGTAGGCGACAAAAGCCACCACATCATGACATATATAGTGTACATAGGTCTCATTCTCGTGTAACATTCCTACGTAGGCCGTAAAGGCCACCAATGAGCATAATGCATGTAATTAGGTTTTTCGGGGTAGTACAATAAACGACAAAGGGGCGACATATACAATGAACATTTTATACATGTCACGTTCTTGACTGGACGGTAGAGGCCAACAGCCGACATATATCTAAAGCGTGTGGCATGTCTCATTGATGTAAGCCAATTTTGGATAGACAACAAAGGCCATATAGAATGACATATAGGTGCATGTTTTGAATCACATACAACGTGGTTTCAATCTCATAACATCAATGGAAAGACATGCAACATAAGCATCGTAGAGACATTCTTGCAATATATACAAGCAGTAGCTTCATCATTAACAAATAAATACTGTAGACAGAAAATAGATAATTACTAATTGTTCAAGCTAGAAAGAACTAATAGGAACTTCCAACAACAGTCAGTTACATATTGCTTGAAGTTTCTAGAGGGTAAAGGGACATGATAATTAGGTGCAAATATTATATATTTTGAATTGTCTACTTCTCATTAATAGTTACCAATTGAAGGGGAAGGTTTCTACATACAACAAGGAGCTAAAGCAACTATTTGATCAAATGACAAAGAGTATGCTTGCAACCTCTTCTCAAAAGAATTCTGTTCAAGGGGAGAATATGTTATACAACAAAATAAGCTATATATATACACTTTCCAAATTAACTACAAAGATATATTTTTGAGTTGTGATCTTCAAATTTTTGTGCCTTCTGATGAAACAAAAGAATACGCATAAAAAATTTGTTCGCATAAAGAAGGAAACTGAAATCGTTCCTGAAAATTAAAAAAGCGATAGTCATGAGTGAGCAGCATCACAACCAAGTATGTCTCACAGAAGCATACACCCGGTTAACCCAAAAAATCAATGGACAAAAGATGGGAATTAATTATTAGTTTACATCAAATTCTACTTGTATCCAGTGCTTTAAAGATCAGATCGAGATTTCACAGCATATACATATAATTGTACTATTTCTACCCATCAATTCACTGCTAAGGGTTTGAACAACAATAACAATACGTCAAGGGCGGAGTTCTCTCTTGCACTTCTTCCAGCTTGATGTAACTTGTGTAGTGAAAGTATGCCAATTGAAATTTCATTTCTTGGACAATTAAAGAAAATACCCATTCTTAATTTTAATCATAACACGGTACGAAGACTTGTACAGCATACTATACCATTCGTCTAATTCCGAATTATAGGTGTAAATCTTTCATCAATTCAACATTTCTGTCATATATCCACAGACGATCTTCTTCCTCTCCCAATTTCAACACATAATCATCAATAAAAAGATGACAATTAATAACATCATAATCAAGAAGAAAGTTAATCAACTAATAATTAATCAGTAACTGTAGCGGTAGTCATGAAATTATTGATACCTGTCTTCTTAATTCCAGCTCATCTCAAATATTTCCCATCGACCTCCAAAGCTCCTTAATTTGCTTCTTGGATGAGGAGCCTCTGCTGCTTAATTCTTTCTAGGGTTACCACTTTGGGAAATTGGCGTTTCAGACATGAGTTAATGTTTTATCAGTTTCTGTAAGAGGCGGAGGGCAGAGAGAGAGAGAGAGAGAGCTGGTTTTACTAATTTACCCTCAGAATTAGGGTTTGCAGAGAGAGAGAGCTGATTTTACTAATTTACCCTCAGAATTAGGGTTTGCATAGGATTTGTCCGGATTCCCAGCATTAATTGGGAGTAGTGTCGGTGGACATTTTACATACACACCCTCCAATGAAGTTTATTTGTGTATAAGCACATTGGTGTCTTTCTAACTGGAGAATTAATCCTAATAATCAAATTCTTCTAGGAAATTTACCAACTTTCTGGGAAGAGAAATTATTTTATGAGAGGAAATTTAATTATCAGGTTAGTTAGTAGAAAATTGATGGCTATTTAAGCTTTTAAGAAGGTTACTGCTGATTTGTTACAGGGTTTAACAGTTTTAAAGAAGAGAAATCAAGAACAATATATAGAAGGCTAGCTTGTACTGCCCTAGTCGTTTAGGGTTTCAATAGAGTGGTTTCTAGGTGTAAGATTAATCTAGGTCAATTAAAGTTGCAGATTTGTAATATATACAATACAATACAATTATTTAAGTGATAATTTAAGAAAAAGTAACTATTTCAAATAAAATATCAATCCAAATTAACAACAAACAGTGAGTTCTATGAGAACTGAAATGCTATAACTTATTAAGGAAAGTCTCAGATATAGTTCTCCATAAAAGTTTTTGTTCTTTATATACACTGAGAAGAACTAGATACACCACTAATGAATTAAGTTCAAAGATAACTGACATTGCATATAAATGATTATCTGAATATGCATCTTCTTTTTGCACTTAGGATCAAACCTTCACTTTGAACATATCTTAATTGAGCACTTTTTACTTATACTTTCCAATAATGTATCAGATATCTGCATCCCATGGAAAATATCTTGACACGCTTTCGATCCAAAAAGAAAATTGAATGCTGTCACTATGTGAAGATGTCAATCTAATTTATTTTTCTCTTTAATGCCAAAATTTTATTATATACGGCATAATATATAACGACGAAATTCCTGCATGGATTTGATAACTATTACGTAGAAACGACACAATGCATGTGTTCAGTCATCGCAGACTTGCGATGATTATCGTACATGAATCGTACTATAAAAACTAAGACTATTTTGAGAAAGGATCAAAGGAGGCATCCATATTTATCCTTCTGTATGAATTCAAACTCAACCTCATTACCACAAACAATTATTTCATGCAGCCATTCATCATTCTTCTTGTTCAGAATTAATCAACAAGAAACAAGTTCAGTTACAATGTTTATCTGTACATATATATACTCAACACTGAAATGAGATAATTTCAGCAAATGATTACCAGTGAATTCTGTGTAAATTAATGTTAAACAATTTACTATGTAAAACTTATGTAACACATGAATTTTCATACAAACAACATGCTCAAAGTAAATATCAATGGACAAGCGTATCAACTGAAGGGAGTTCTTCTGTGTTTATGTGACCCTCTTCAGAAGCAAGAGTTTTATTTGATGAAATTAAATTTAAAATCTTCTATCGACATTCACATGATGGATCAAAGAGAAACAGGAATATTAAATATGATCCAGCTTATAATTTGAAACACATAAATGAAATATGACATTCTTATATTTTGTTTAACTTATGAGTTTAACTTTAGGTATTTTGCATTATTTCTACTTCCACGAAATAAACATTTATTCTCAAGATTTTAAATTAACAAGAAATCACTACATGAATTGAAGGAGTATTAGCTAGGCTTATCATCATATATAGATAAGAAGTTTTGATGTATATATGTAAAAGCAAATGATCAATTTTTACCCAAAAAAGAAGAAGAAGAAGAAAAAGAAGAAGAAAAAAGAAGCAAAGCATTGTGCTCATTTCAAAATTAAAACATTTCATGGAGATAGTGCTTATATATATTTAACCCCAAGAAATCTAATTGGATATATAGTAATGAAACTTCAAATATAACTAAGATAACAATGTCATATATGTTCGCAATTAACACAACAATTCGACAGCAACAACAACATACAACATTGACAATGTTCACAACTGACACTACACAACACACAACACACAACAACAACAACAACAACACCATCATCACCAGCAGCAACAAGATAGAAATCTTCCATCCAGAAAGGAGGAAGACATTAACCAACATAAAACCTCAAACAAACCAAGTCCAACCTTTACTGATGAGTTACAAGTCTAGCTCAGAGACTGCTCATCAAAGTCATAACTACCCATATAGATATATATCTAACAAAGCATACTTGGGTAAACCCAAACAGGAGAAGGCCACCTAGGTAATTCAGCATGAGCCAACTTTAAAGCAGATTGTTCGGTACTAGCAATAATATCCTTGCCGAACTGAAACTCCGTCCAATTTTCACATCCAGGCCCTATAATATAGGCACGGTTGCTTTTTCCTCCCCAGCGCGACGGATTTTGGCACACAATTGGGACATTCCCAACTGCATCGACAAACAAACACGCATCCCCCAAGGTATCTATCTTCACCCACAATCGGTTCGGAAAATCCAACCGATAAAGGTCAATCCCAATTACAGGCCAGTCTCTTATAGCAAATAGGACTAAAATGAGACTACCTCCACACTCAACAAGATACCTTCCAAATTTACCCGTCAGAATGTCAGGCCGACTAGGCATTTTCACTTCCAGGGTTGTCCAAGTAGTGTGTGACTCAAAACTAACAATTTTTAGGTTAAAGTTCTTGGCCAGACAGAAAATTTGTCCTCGGAAAAGGCCTAAACACATGATTTCTCGATAATATCGGAGATACCCCTCTGCGACCCAATAAGATTTTCTCAGTCCCCAAACAAGGGTGTGAGCAAGAGTAACCAAAACAAGCACAGACGACGAAGAAGTAACCGGAGCAGAGAGAATAGAGATGGAGAATAGTTCATACATGTATTTTTCTGGAAGCTGAGGGGCGACGATCTCAGAGCCAGTGAATACATTAGAAAGGGTAATCCTCCCATCCTGAATAAAGATCAGATGACCAAAAGAGTAGCCAATACAAGTTTTCCACACTGTCTTTCTCCGTAGCTTTGATCTGTAGAATTTGGTGCCGCCGCTTATTTCCTGAAGAATGCAACGAGCGGGATATGTCCATAGGGATCTTTGTTCTCTGCCTTTGTTGGGAGGAGGGCGAAGGATTGGGCTGAGGAGGAGAGGAGGAAAGGAGGTGATAGAATTTTTGAGGAATGAGGAAAAGGCGAGGTGTTTGAGGTCAGTGCAGACTGAGGAGATTGAGATAAAGTCGGGGATCGAGATGAGGAGGTTGATGATTGTGATCAGAAGGGCATCAGGGAGCCTCAGCCAATCACGACGGTCAGCGGTGCCCTCCTTCTCCTCCTCGGGTTTCTTGTTCTTGATGATGATCTCTTTTCCCTTGGATATCTTGGCGGAGGCGGTGGCGGTGGCGGAGGCTTTTTTCTGGTATTTTCTTTTTGGTGCCATTGCTGAAGAAGGAGATTGAGGATGAGATGGAAGAGGGGGCGCTTTTACATGTGAAATGGAAAATGGCTGTTAGGGTTTGGAACACATGAGGGTTTTGTCTGCATTCTATGAATCTGTCAGTGGCAGTTCATGTATGTGTTGGTTTTTTGTTTCCTTTTTTGGCATTTCTGGTTGTTTTGAAAATGGTCATGACTCAGCACAAAGAGGAGCTAGTGTAGAACATATCCTAAGACCAGTCTGAACAAGAATTATTTCCCTGTAGATTTTTGACTTGATTTGTTTCAGAGAATGTTTTTCCTCCTTTTTTCTGTCACTTCATAGATTTAAGCAAATTGTTTCTTATATAGCCTTAACATCATCCAATTAATAGTGACAGAAATTCAAAAGTTTTCACAGACTTCAATAATTTTCTAGCTAACTAGTGAAATTTTTTGAATGTACATTGAGCCAAAATCATATACTTACATGCCTTTCTGTGAAATTTGGATAACTACTTCGTTCTACATTTACAAAAGGGAGATGATTCTAACAATATTTTGAATTCTTAAAATGAGAAGAAGAAGAAGAAAAAACCCGCCTCGTAATCAAATGAAACCATATTCTAAGTTTCTAGCTGTCAATTTTCTTTTAGCTATCACCGCAATTAGGTGATAAATTTCATCCAACTATATATATTTTTGGTAAATAAAAATTTTTATTCATCACCAATATGTAAAGTTTTTGTACATCAAGAATCTCAAAAAAACATGTATATGTAAGTGAGATAACAAAACAAACCCTATGGCTAAAGCTCAAGCAAGCTATAGCAAAACTGACTCTGAAGAAACAGATACATAACCTGCACACTGTAACTGTACATAGTCTCAAACTTTTCACTTGAGCCAACTCCAAATAGTTGCTTCTTCTTCTCTAAACGTACGGTTCCATATTGAAAACCATCTGAACCTGGTAGTCATATCTGAGGAGAGGAACTGTCAACATGGTAGTCATGTACACTACCATTAGTATTATCTGAACCAGATAATCATGTACACAACCAGATAGTCATGTACACAACCAAATAATCATGTGCACAAAACCCTACATCAGAGCAACATTATCTGCAAGGAGAAGCTTCAATGTTAGAGTCTGCAGGAAAATTAATACTAGACTGCAAGAGCAACAACAGTATTATAATGAACATAGCTATTCTTTATCTTCAACTGATAAGTGACCATTGCGGATGACAGTTAAAATGTTGAATTTTATCTCCTTGAACAGCTAAGCAATAGGTTTTCCCTCCTGTCTGAAAATTCTGGAATTCCTTTCACACCAAATGTAATAGATTGTGGAGGTGAGTGCCATTTTCTTAATCTGTTGCTTGAAGCCATTACCCCTCAAAACGAAAGCAATACCATTCTATGATTTGGCTCCAAAAGCAAGACCTCCACTTGAATTGTAACCAATTCATAACCATACCCCAAACATCCCTCGAGTAGTCACAATCAAAGAAAAGATGATCCCTACTCCCAGAACCTGTTCTTCCTCTTTCATTTTCTTGCTGTTACATTTTGTTGGTTCCCTGAAAGTGGTGAAGAATTCACAAAACCTTCTTGAAGCTCGTGCCGACGAGAAGGGGGTCGCCTGACCGAGGGTCGTCGTATCTCCGAGATCTATTGCTGCGTAGCCCTGTACGAGAGGGGTCAATTAGTTTCTTAGGACAGTGTTTTGCACGCTTTGATCATCAGGCCGTATTTCTAACTTTTATTTACTTTCATTTGATTCAATTTCATTTCTGAGTTATAATAGTTATATGTTTTTATCTAATTTCTATTAACTGTTTCAAACTAAATTCCGTGCTAATTATTGTCTAAACATCTAATTTTCCCAACAATCCAAACAAACATTTTCCCTCACAATTCTTCTTTTGAGTAATCTATCTTATGAGAGCAATCGATCTTGGACTGCTAACCAACTGATAAAGGAGTGTCTGGGCAGATTTAAAGTTGTCCAAACAACATTACACCATGGCATAGCAGAGGAAGCAGGAATAAAAACTGAATACAGTTTAGATAGCTGAATTTTTGAGTCCTTGATACAAGTTTGTATTAAACTCATCAGATTATCAACACTGCCATATATTCTCTGAGCCTTATCTCTGACTTTCAAAATATTGTTCCACACCCACGAATCCCTGCTCTTAGTTTGAACATGCCAAACTAAGAGACTTGAACAAAAGTTTTAAATTATTTTTCCAACTATATATATATATATATATATATAGACAATAGAAAATTTTTTCCCCTTCTCTAATGTTAAATACAGATTCTTCACAAGATGTGACAAAAGCAGTATGTGGAGAGTTTGAACGGGGGAGAAAGAGATAAGAGAGCGAAAGCGAAAGACAATAGACAAACTAAGATAGTTTTTGAGAGAGAGGGAGAGAGGGAGAGGAGACAAACTAAGATAGTTTTTGAGAGAGAGAGAGAGAGAGAGATAGAGAGAGAGAGGAGACAAACTAAGATAGTTTTTGAGAGAGAGAGAGAGAGAGAGAGAGAGAGAGAGAGAGAGAGAGAGAGAGAGAGAGAGAGAGAGAGAGAGACTTATTGAACAAAAGTTTTCCTAATCAAAGATTAAAATTATTCGGATGAAGGAAGTAAATAGTGCGTAATAATACTAAATAGTAGAATTATAGAAGGCGGGAGCGGTTTTCAGTGCATGTTAGCAGGCGAAAAATTCCCTGCTAACCTGCGCATCCGCTGTGATCTCAATGGCGAAGAAGAAGAATTCCCTGCTAACCTGCGCATCCGCTGTGATCTCAATGGCGAAGAAGAAGAAGTTTAGCGGGAAAAAAGTTCTTAGCTCTGGATTAGGATCCTCGATCTCATCTCAGATCAACATTGAGGATAATTCGGTTGATAGTGGAGATGAAGTTGATTCTCTCATGGGATCTATGGGACCTAAGGGAGCAACGAAGTCCAAATTGCTTTCGGAGATTCTTGAATCATCATGTACTGTGTTTGATTCAAATCTTGATCAAATGTCATGTTCTTTGGTGAGAACTCAAGATCGAGTTCCTTTGATGGCGGGAATCCAAAATCGACAGCTATACGAGGCTCCAGTGGCGGGAAGTTCTGATCTCTGTAAGTCTTCCTCTTCTTGTAATAGCGAAAATCTCTCTGCTAGGGTTTCTTGGGCGGAGGAAATTGAATCGGAGCTATTTTTATCTAGATCTAAGTTTATTTCCAATCCTGTGCTTCTGGTTTCAAATACTAAGATCGATGATGCTTTGAACAATTCTAAAGTTGATGATAGTTCTTTGTCTCTGAAAGTGAGCAATAATGCTAATCTTGATGAAATTCTAGCTCCTCCTCTTGAGATCTCTAAAAATCCTATAAAAAGCTGGAGTAGTTTGTTCTCTGATAACAGAAGGCCTGGTAAAGGCATGGTCTTAAATTACTTGCCTCCAGACACTAATGATTCAGTAATTTTTAATGAAGAAGAATGGAATGATGGTGCCTCTATGTGGTCTTCCTCAATAATTGGGCAAGTTCTTGGCTTAAGTGTTAGTTTCAAGGCAATGCAGAGCTATGTGCACAAAGTTTGGTCTCATGTGCCTGAAATTTGTTTACTAAGGGCTGGCTTGTTCCTGTTTAAATTCAATGATAAAGAAGCTATGAATGAAGTTCTAAGTAATGGTCCTTGGTTTTTTGGCTCAAGGCCAATGCTCTTAAAACCTTGGACTATTGACATGGAAACTAATAAATCTGAAGAGTGTCTGTATCCTTTGTGGATTCAATTGCCAGACTTGAGGTTGAATTTATGGAATTCCAAGAGTTTAAGCAAAATTGCCAGTATTCTAGGTAAACCTATTGCAGCTGATATGTTGACAACAAATAAACAAAGACTATCATATGCTAGGGTACTGGTAGAGGTTAAAATGCCATCTCATCTACCCGATCACATTACTATCCAAGGACCAAATGACAAATCTTATAAACAGAAGGTGCTTTATGAGTTTAAGCCCAGGTGGTGTGATATTTGCAAATTTGTAGGTCATGATACAAATTTCTGTAAGAAAAAGAAAAATATCCAGAAATGGGTTCCTAAGGGATCCTACCCAGCAGCTCCTACTTTGATTGTCAATCAAGAAGCCAGCAAAGTGAATAACAAGGCTAAGGGATCCTACCCAGCAGCTCCTACTTTGATTGTCAATCAAGAAGCCAGCAAAGTGAATAACAAGGCTGAAGTTCATGAAGTTATACAGGATAGCAATTTTCAGTCTCATGTGCATGCTGTGCATGTTTCAGGAAATGCACATAATGAAAGATCTAGGCCGGATATAAATATTGGAAAATCTATTGAAGGAAATGATAACAGGAAATGCACATAATGAAAGATCTAGGCCGGATATAAATATTGGAAAATCTATTGAAGGAAATGATACAGGTAAATCTGTTGCACAAGATTATTTGCAGATTGATAAAGACTGTCAGGTATCAACACATGAGATACATGGTTTTGAGGACACTACCGAAATGTTACATAATCAGAGGAATTCAAATGAAATGCAATATGTAAATACTCCAAGACTGAATGTATCCTCAATGCCTGCACATTTGGTAAATATCCTGGGTGAGGCTACTGAGGCCAGATCTGTGCATGTTGTGCACAGACAATTCACTGAGTCTGGGTGTCCTAATGAAAATATCACCCGGATTCCTGTTCAAGGTCATAAACCCAATAAGCAGTGCAACTATAATGATGTTCTCAGTGCATCAAGCAAAAAGTCTTCAGGCAACTCCTTCTTGCCTTTGGAGAATTTAGTATTTGACGCCTCTACTGTTGATAGAGGGTCTTCTATGAAATGAATCTATCTTTCTGGAATGTGAGAGGGTTAAATAAACCCTCTAAACAAATGTTGATCAAGCAACATGTTCAGTTCTATCACCTCTCCTTTATTTCTCTCCTGGAAACTAAAATCAAGGAAGCTAATATGCTGAATACAACAAGAAGAATTG